TTTTCTTCCCAGTAGACTGTAAGCCCCTAAGAGTGGAGCTGATGCAATGCTTGGTGCACAATAAAAAGTTTTTGAATGGGTGACTAAATTATTAGAGCTTATAAAGAAGATAGTATTAAAAGCCTTGAAAATTTTTTGAGTAAAGAGAAGTCAAGTAAATGGCAAAATGTTTAAATACTGTTGGGCTTCCCTTGTAGCTCAGATGGTAAAGAATTCGCCTGCAATGTGGGAGACCTGGGTTCGATCTCTGGGTGGGAAAGATCCCTTGGAGAAGGGAAAGTCTACCACTCCACTATTCTGGCCTGGAAAATTCCATGGATTGCATAGTCCATGGGATCACAAAGAGTCAGACATGACTGAGCAACTTTAACTTTTAAATCCCAGTGCATTTTGACCATTGTCTGGGCTAGATGCCAACCTAACTATATGGAAGGGTATAATAAATAAGCTAATAAATGAAAAACGATCTCCTATTTCCTTGCATGTAAATTTTATATTAAATTACTTGTGGTGAGGAGCCGTTCATTCATTCTCAATGATATCCTAAATCAAAAGCAGAGTGTCTTTCTCTGCCCTAGAGATTAAATTATTCCATTTATGTCAAATGATGGTAGTGCTTACTAACCCAGAGTTAGTAAGAAACATAAACATTTGAAAAGTCCATAGCTTGATGAGATTGGTACTAAAAGGTCTTTCTCATCCTCCTCCTCCTTCTCCTTCTGCTTCTCACCACATGTTATCTGCTTCCAATGGTGCTTCCCTGGTGGCTCAGATGGTAAAGAGTCTGCCTGCAATTCAGAAGATCTGGGTTCCATCCCTGGGTCAGGAAGATCTCCTGGAGAAGGAAATGGCAACCCACTCCAGTATTCTTGCCTGGAGAATCCCATGGATGGAGGAGCCTGGCAGGCTCCATGGGGTCACAAAGAATCAGACACAACTGAGCAACTTTCACATACATACACATTAAAGGTGGATAACTTGTTTTGAACTTCTAAGGTAAACTTCACTTTAAGTAGACTTTTGTTTTATTGGGGAAGTCAAGATAGAATCATTTACATAACTGTGAATTGAGTATGTAGCTCTTACACAGATTTGCTAACTTCATTCACTCTACAGGACGTAGATGAAACAGAGCCATCTAAGAACTATCTGTTGACTTTGAACAACCAGTTATTAACCAGATGACCTGCAAACATGTCCTGGATTCAGTTTATGGTTGTCAGTTGGAATTTGTGGGAAAAAAATAAGAAAATTTTGTTGAAAAAATAACCCCATTCTACAAGTGTTTTTTAAGAATCTCCTATGTCTAAGGCAGAGTACTTGGTACTCTGAAGACTACAGTGATTTATCAGAAGTGATTCCAACTGTCAAAGAGTTCTGTCAGGTAATGTGTTTATCTGATACATAACTGCATATTACAAGGTGAAAGAAAAAAGTTACACCATAGAGGTGAAAAATAACATGATGTAGAAATTCAGAGGAGAAAGATGATTTTCACTGGGGGTGTTAGAAAAAATCTTCCACAGGCAGTCACTTGTCCCTGTGTTTTGAAAATTCAGCAGGATCTGGTTGTATAGAATAGATTCCTGTCTTGGCAAAGTCATGAAGTCAGGAAAACTCCAGAGCTACATAGGGAAGGATGAGTGGATCAGAAAGTGAATGGAGGGGATGGGAAGTAAGATTGGAGAAGCAACTGGGGCTCTATTTTAGGAACCTAAGACAGAGAAGGTGAGAGTGGATGAACTTCTTTCCATTAGCATTAGGGAGTCACATAGTCCTAGGTCTCAAAGCTATGTCATGAGTAGTATGGTTTTATGGGAAGCTGGGAGCCAGAACACTGGAGAAAGACATGATAGAAGGTTTCTCAAAGGTTTCTGATGGTGATGCATGTGCCTGCTAAGTTGCTCAGTCATGTCCATCGCTTTGCACCCCTAGGGGCTATATAGCCTGCCAGGCTTCTCTGTCCATGAAGATTGTCCAGGCAATAATACCGGAGTGGCTTGTCATGCCCTCCTCCAGGGTATCTTCCCAACCCAGGGATCGAACCTGCATCTCTTACGTCGCCTGCATTGGCAGACGGGTTCTTTACCATGAGCGCCACCTAGGAAGCCCTCGGATGGTGATAGGAGTGAAGATTTGGGAGGTTGTTTCAATAGAATCTGGCAGCTTCTTAGATGAGGAGAGTGAGAGAGATTGAAATGTGATCCAAAACATTTTGAACTGGTTGACCAGAAGGAGAGTTGGGCTGCTTAAAGGATGGTCTACCCAGAGAAGTAACTTTTGTAAAGAAAATTATGTATATAGGTCTCTAGGCAGCTTTTGGATGCTAGCAGAACACAGTGACTGAACTGAACTGAACTGAGAACAGAACGTATGAAATCACAGGAGTGGAACTTAGGAGAGATTTACAGGCTGGATCATTGTGGTTATCTAAAATCCTATGATTTAATGACTGTTTCAAGAGAGAGGTGATAGATGAAAGAAGATTATTGAGGCTGGACAGTCAGGGGATTCCTACACTGATCTGGTCAGGCAAAAAGTAGAGGAATAAATAGACAAAAGAGAAGTGTTGAAAGGATAAGACAAGTTCAACGTCATGCAAACCAACCTAGGAGATGCTTTTTAAAGGGAAAGTACCCACGAATGTCAAATGTATACCTTACGCTATGCAGCTATTTAAAAATACAGGGATTAAGAAAAGTCTCCTAGATGTCTCAAATTGATAGTCATTGTCTGTTGGTTTTTTAAGAATTACACTCCATTCTTTAAAAAATCTTTATTTCCTTATGGGCTGTGCTGGGTCTTTGTTGCTGCTCAGACTTTCTGTAGTTGTAATGAGTAGGGGCCATTCTCGAGTTGACTGTACCAGCTTCTCTTGTTGCAGAGCTTGGACTCTGGAGCACAGGCTTAGTAGTTGTGGTGCTCAGGTTTAGGTGCACGTCGAATCTTCCCGGATCAGGGATAGAACCTGTGTCCCCTGCCTTGGCAGGCAGATTCTTAACCCCTGGACCACCAGGGAAGTCTAGTAGTTGTGGTTTATTTTTCATAATGAAAGGTATAGGCATTGTGACATGTGGAAAATGAGGAAACAGATATTAGGGGAAACTGGAGTCAGGTTCTCATCCTGTATGGTTTCATGATTTGATGCAAAATTATTTAATCATGTATGGATGTGAGAGTTGGACTATAAAGAAAGCTGAGCACCGAAGAATTGATGCTTTTGAACCATGGTGTTGGAGAAGACTCTTGAGAGTCCCTTGGACTGCAAGGAGATCCAACCAGTCCATCCTAAAGGAGATCAGTCCTGAATATTCATTGGAAGGACCGATGTTGAAGCTGAAACTCCAGTACTTTGGCCACCTGATGTGAAAAGCTGACTCATTTGAAAAGACCCTGATGCTGGGAAAGATTGAAGGCGGGAGGAGAAGGGGATGACAGAGGATGAGATGGTTGATGACATCACCAACTCAATGGGTATGAGTTTGAGTGAACTCTGGGAGTTGGTGATGGACAGGGAGGCCTGGTGTGCTGTAGTCCATGGGGTCGCAAAGAGTCGGATATGACTGAGCGACTGAACTGAATTGAACTGAACTGTTTAATCTCTCCGAGCCTTAGGTTCTTGACTATAAAATGGTGATAATACTTGACTCAATGGGCTATGGTGAGATGCAGTTCAATAAATTAGCATATGGACAAGAAGAAACTGGTGAAAATAGGCCTGTTAATCCAAGTCTCTTTTAAATTTTCCTCCCAGTTGCTTTTGATTCACTTCCAGATGGTCATGTGTTATGGGGTGCCATCACCTGCATTCATGGGTAGTTAGGTTCTATAAGGCTTAATAATGAATTGCAAGCAATTAAATATTGGCCACCAATCCCTCCTTGGGCAGACCTGAGCATAAAAGGAGGCAGATGGAATACGTTTACTCTTGAAGGTCCTGCCCAAGCAAATGGTCAAGACAGAAGTATCTCAAGAGATCAGAGGGCCTGACTAGTCTGGATGATGATTTGATATGTCCTTGGAAGTAGGGCAGGGACCACCATGATTTTTCACCTGATGTTTCTTTTTTTTTTTTTGCATTTTCACCTTTGATTTTGCATTCCCTGGTGCTAGCGAAATGCTCTGTATATAATCATTAGGAAGAATTTGCCAAACAAACAGCTGTTTTGTTTGTTTCTTTGGAGAGATCTGGCCTTAAGATAATGCACAAAGAGGTAAAAAGAATAGAGCATTGATTGGAAAAAAGAGAAACGAACATGGACGATGACGCAATCACCTGGGGTGTTGGTGACCAGCAACTGGACCGATGTATATGCCAGTGTGTAACTGTCACAGATATCATGTTGCATCTACACCAACGATAAACATCCCCAAACCAGGAAGCAGTGACAGAAACAAAAGGGGGAAAAAAAAATATGAGTCTAAGCGTGGTGCTGTTTATAACCCCATTCAACCATAGGGAGACACCATTACTTACACTCACGTCTGTTGTTATTAGCAAACAGAGGAGCACAGGGGAGAGAGGCGTATAATACTGGGTGCAATTTGTATGGAAGTAAACCCTTGGTTTTTATTTGGAAATAAGAGAGGGATCCATAAATGGGCAGGCAGTGGTGCCTTGACCAGCCTTGTCAATCGATCTGGGTGTCAGGGTGTTCACAGTGAGGAAAAGGAGGAGGACTCCATCCTGCTAAGGATGCAAACGGGCACGTATTGTGTATCCAGAAAGGATGGTCACCTTCCATTTTAATTTGTTCCAAGCTTTCTTTCTCTCTGGAGTCCATCTCTGATGCGACATTCAAGAGGATCGTGTTCAGCTAGAACTCGGTTGTGAAGTTCTTTTAAACGCTCACAAGCCAGATCGGCTATGGTTAAGGAGAGCGTGTTTGCTCCACAGGAAAGGAGATTTCCCTGGTTTACATATGTCTTCTTTAAAGAGTGTGACTCACTGCCTGTGTACCCGTCTCCTCCTCTCGCCCCACCCCGTGACTGCCTCGCAGGCCATGGGACGTGCTCCTGCGGTCGCTGTGTTTGTGAGAAAGGATGGTTCGGGACGCTCTGCCAGCATCCGCGGAAGTGTAACCTGACGGAGGAACAGAGCAATAGTCTGTGTGAATCGGCAGATGGCATATTGTGCTCGGGGAAGGGTGAGTATCCGCCGGAGCTTGGACGGGTTCCCTGTTCTTACGTGTGGTTTGTATTGAGCAGCAGCACGGTCCCTACAACCGGCTTCTCCGGGCTGTATGGAAACCACGCTGTCCTCTGCTCCGACCAGACTTTGGGCTTGAATTTCTCCCATTCACACGATCACGGAAAGTATTATCAGAAGGAAAGCCTCAAATTTACCTGTATGCTGCTTTCTTTAGGCATAAATGAATTAGCGATAGAAACACGTGCGTGCGAAGTGGCTTCAGTCGTGTCCGACTCTTCGCGAACCTATGGACTGTAGCCCGCCAGGCTCCTCTGTCCAGGGGATTGGCCGGGCAAAAACGCTGGAGTGGGTTGCCATTCCCTTCTCCAGGGCATCTTCCCGACCCAGGGATCGCACCCACATCTCCTGTGTCTCCTGCATTGGCAGATGGGTTCTTTACCACTAGTGCCAACTAGACATGTGTAACCTAATATAAAAGAAAATAAAATGAAGACTTCAAAGTGGTTACAGCCTTCAAGTTGATGGAATAGGAACAAATAACCCAATCAAACATTTACCACAAATAAGTTCAAGGAGAAAAGCAACCCCACCCAGTGCCCCTCCCCCACCGCAAAGGGCACTTTTTTTTTTTTCCCCTGAGAAAGTACTAATTAATAGACTGAGTTTTAGATATTTTTTTGCAAAGTGAATTTTTTAATTGATTGTTTTTTATTTTTATTGTTTTTGGCCACACATGGCATGTGGGATCTTAGTTTCCCCACCAGGAATTGAACCCACACATTTGAAAGCTTGGAGCCCTAAGCACTGGACTGCCAGGGAAGTCCTGAATTTTAGGTAGCTTGATGTTGATGTTTTTGTATAAATTTTCCAAGAGGCTTTAAAAGCCTCCTGTCTCAGGCCATCTTCCTCTTTGCTAGTGGCTAGGAAGGGCTTCCTTCAGATGGTAATGAATCTGTCTGCAGTGCACAAGACCTGGGTTCGATCCCTGAGTCGGGAAGATCCCCTGGAGGAGGGCATGGCAACCCACTCCAGTATTCTTGCCTGAAGAATCCCATGGACAGAGGAGCCTGGCGGGCTGCCATGCATGAAGTCACTGAGACAGACACGACCGAGCGACTAAGCATTGAGTGGCTGGAAAACACCTAGAAACGTTCTTGAAGTCTGTGTGTTCTCACTGAATGTTCAGGAGCTGCCCTACACCAAACTAGATGCTCTGGGGCTTCCCAGCTCACTAGGCTCCTTTCAGAACAGATGATCCCCACTTCCCAAGTGGAGCTGAAGCCGAAGCTACATTTACCCTCAGACACCTACCCTGGGGGCAGGATTAGCAGGTAAATACCTTTCTGAAGAAGACACAGTGAAGAAAGAGAGTTGCCTAATAGCCAGGGAGAAGTCCTCAGAAGTAGAATAAATATTCTGATTAAAGTCATTACATTCTGAAGAGAGAGACTCATTTTTTAGCATCATAAATGTAGAAAATATATATTAAAAAAATATATGGACTAAACATTGGCCCAAAGGCATTTCCTCAAAGTGAAACAGGAGGAGAAAATCTCTCTAGGTAATGCCTTTTCAAATTGTTTGCTTTGGGTGTGGAAATCTATCCAGGTATCAATGAATAGTTGAAACAATATTTGTCTAAACTATTTGTTTACCCTTCAAAGGGTAGAGAGTTTTAAACTTGAAGGAATGTAAGAGTGTGATCAGTATCAGGACCTCTTATAGCCTCAAGGTTGTTTGTTTTGAGGTTGGTGTTAGTGATGAGGCTGGCATCCCTAGTTGGCAGTGGCTGGCTGTGAACTTTGTTTCTTCCTGTTTTGGGAGAATCCACGCTGAATAGTAAAGCAAAGAAGGGGTTACACGTGGGATCATGGAATTGTATTCTTTCAGTGAACAGTGGGGATGCAGAAGTTATCCTTGTCAGCATGGAGGGACCCGCACCCCAGGAACCACAAGAAAAGAATCATGAAACAGACTAAGGGTCTTCAACATGGTGGCTGAGAAGAGACACCCCCTTCTGAGTTAGTTAAACGGGGGCCATCTATTTCTGGATACATCTCATGGACTTGCCATATTGCCATGTACCTTACTCTCGAATTTGTACATGAAAACCACTCACCCTGGCTTTCACAGAGGAAATCAGTCTTTTTCTTTCTCCCGCGATGGGGCAGGTGTGAGCAGAGGGTCCTGAGATCCCCAGCGCACAGCAGTTTAGCAGCCCAGACCCAGCTGAGTGTTTCCAGCAGAAAAACGAACCTGCAACGTGGGCTCCCCGGAAGTTGTGAATAAAGCCACCACCTCAGGAGACGATGAAGAAATAGCGTTTTATTTCTTTACAAATTGATAGCCAAGACAATAAATCACTCCATAGAAAAATTTAAAACAAGATACATTGTTGTGACCTTCATAACAGATGGAGGAGTTAGAACAGTACTGAAGTCTGCCTGCTGGGATGTCGGGTTGCAGCATTTTGTCAGGCTTGATGGATGAAAAAGAAAGTCCGACTCTGTAAATGGGGCAGCGAACAGAGGTGCCTCGCCCTGACACACGTTGGGTTTTTGTAAATAACCGGAGATGAATGCAGGGCCAGGGCTCCCCTAAGCTTAGCTACCTTTGACGGATGCATGATACAATTCATAGGATGTTTGGGGATTTATTCCTCTGGATCCAAGAACACACAGTAACCTTCTTGGCCTTGTAACTTCCACCTCAATATAGGTCATGCTCTCTAATATCCTTAAAGATGCCGTTGTGTGACAGTTGTTAACTGTGTGTTATTCAATGACCCCTTACACTCTTACATTGATACTTATTATCCAGATTAAGTCCATGGTACCCCCACCACCCATCCCTCACCCCCGGCCCGACCCAGCCTGTTCTTCACGCCTGGAAAAGAGAAAGGGTGAAAAGTCATGTTTCAAAAGCCGCCCTTTTGGCTCTGTGTTCTGGTTGCCTTGCTCAGTGACTGTCCGGGCAGAATCTATAGGATGCACAAATCATTTTTGAAACTACATGGAAGTCCCCCTCCCCCCACCTCTGGGAGAAGCATCACAGATAGATGCAAGAGTAGACTGAATCAGATTGGAATCTTAGGTTAACTGATGTACTTCCATTTTCTCATCTTTGAAGGCAGAAGAATTTCATTTCTTTCCCCTTCTTATTTCCTAAGGATGCTCTGAAGACGAATGAGAAAATGTGGTTAATTGCTCAGGAATGGAAGCCAGTAAGCAGCACAGAAGGAAGATCAGAGCTCTCTTTAGTCCTTATACCAAGACAGATGATAAAGGAGTTAGGTGATGTGGTCATGAACTTACTACCCTAGAGATCCTGCCAAGACGGGGGTGGCCAGCTGCTCCCTTGGGCTGGACTGGGTCTCATGGGTGTGAGTGGAGCCCCGCCAGTGGAGCGGAACAGTTGGTCCCCTCTTGGCAATCCTGTGGCCTGTGTTTGTCTGTGTCTGTCTGAGAACCCTTCACTGAAGTGTTTCCCTTTCTACACGTGTGCAGTTTGAGCCCTGACTCCTGATGAAACAAGTCAGAGCACCCTACAACAAAGGCACGGCTCTAGAGGTCCTGATGCCGCTCACACTGTGTTAGTATTACATGCTATGCTAGTCCTAATTTTACAAGCAGAAAAAGTTCCTACCTCTGAGAGGCACAAATAGAAAGAACAACACAGCTGGGGAAAACGCTGACTGAGAAAAGCTACTTCTTCATCACACATACAAAAATCAATCCCCATTTTCCACTTGAAGTAGTTCAGTGTCTAGTAGACTTTTGGAACTGGAGTTTACTTGTCAAACGGTCCATCCAAGATACCATATTAACTTTAGCTGAGCTTAACCAGTTTTAGGAAAATACTTTGTTTTAGCCTGAAGCTGAACATCCCAGAAGCAAGAGCAGTAATTAAAATAGTTTCAGGGCTAGGAGACGAGTTTAAAAATGAAATGTGAGATCTTTTCATGCGTTGTGACAAAAAAGATATCCTAGGCATAATTGTGAATATCATGAACATAGAAAGTCATTTACTTCTGCTGCTTTGTAGAAATAATTTTGGAAAGTAAAGGGGATAACTATTTTAGAAACAACTGAAAACAACCAGATTCTTCCAATAGTCATGGAATTAAAGAATGAAATATGGTATTTTCTGAAGCAGTTACCGTGAAAAGTCAATGAAATGCCCCAAGTCGTCTTTGTTTGCACTCAGATCGCTAACCATTTACTAAACCAGCTTATGGTAAACACTTCCATGCCTAGAAATTTGAAAGAAAGTGTTTAAAAGTACGGCAAATACATTTCTAAAATAAGGTAACACCGTACCTGAATGAGACCAAGAAGAAGCCAGCATCCTTCACAGACTTGAGCCAGGAGCTCATTGATTCCTGAGCAACCATCAGGCTGTCAGTCACTCATCAGAACTGAAGGTTGTCTAGAATTTGCTCAAGGAAATGCACATCAACAAGACCCTCAGGAAAGTAAGACAAGACTATATGAAATTATGCTATGGTTAAGCAAGGACTTAACTAATGTAAACTCAGCTCTCAACCCATAACTAGTTCTGACTACTCCCTTACCTTCTTCTTTAGGAGCATGACAAGGAATGTGAAAAGTTTAACCTGGCTCTTGGGGATTTTTGCAGCTAAAATACAGATAGCCATTTCCATGATATGGAATACCACATAGTGCTTAATGCGTGAGATGTGTTCATACGGATCCTTTTGGGATTCTGTGATATCAGGAAATCCTTCTTTCTCAACCACTTGACTCACTCAGTGTCTTAAGTCATTTTTCAAGCACTGTGTTTCCTAGAAGCACTAATGGTTGATTGCTGCTCATCTCCCAATATATTTTGAACTTACCAAGTCTGGAATTTTGTTAAATAGGTCAAAGCACTTTTTTCTACTTTACCATCTCTTAAGGTGATTTTTGACCTGAACAATTTAGTGATGAGCATCTTTTAGTAAAAGGAAAACCACGTTTGGAAAAGATAATCCATCCAAGGAAATAAAAGGAAGGGTAAGTCCTTCTTAAGTGTTTTCTTTAAATTTTAAAGCTGTCTTTACTGTTGTTGTAGCTGAAATTTTGCCACATGAGGGTCTCATAGCCCATCAGGTGAAAACACTTAGACTGAGAGAACTTACTTTTGTGACACCATTTAACTCATACATTTTCTTTTCTTTTAAATATATTTAAGTAACTAATAAAATTGTTTCTGGGCAAACCAAAATGTTCTTAATAACCAAAGTGGAAGTTTTAAATTAATAACATTAATTAAATAATTAAAAAGGGGAGAAATGAGTAAGTAATGCAAAAGGTAATTTGACCAAGACCCCCATAAAAGATGAACATTTTGAGTGAATTGGAGCCTTTCTTGATTACGGCAACAAATTCTAAGAATGAGATCTTCTAAGTCAAATATACATGAGTTACTATCTGTGTATTTTTGGCACTTTAAAGAGCTACCCAATATGCAGGTGCGTCCCTATTTAAAGAAAATCACGAAAACGAAAATCCAGAATTGTAAGCATGGTAATTTAGTAATTCTTTTCATTATAGAATGCATCCCCACCTAATAGAACTTGCTATTCAATTCCTTAAAAAAAAAAACCAAAAAACCAAGCACCTTTAAGGCGCGATTGACTTCAGAAAGAAAAAAGAAAAAAGGGACATCTATTTTTGAACACCTTTTCTGAAGGCCATCCATAAGAATCAGCCACATTCTGCCCTCATTGACATTTCAACCAGGCGGGGCCACGGAACATTTGCTCAAGGCTAATTGCAACTGTCTAGATCCATAATGAAGCCTTTCCTGGATAACCTTTATGAATTAGAGTAAGTCAGGCTCCCCTCTGAGTGACTGGCTAGTCGACAAACTTTTCCCTTTGTTAGGTTATTAGACGTCCGCGGTCATTGCATTGATAATATTCCGTTCTTGGCAGAAGCCTTTAGTTAAGTGATGACGGCAAGTAGCGCCCTTTGTGATTTCAGGTTCCTGCCACTGCGGAAAGTGTCTTTGTTCTGCTGAAGAATGGTACATTTCGGGAGAATTCTGCGACTGTGATGACAGGGACTGCGACAAACACGATGGGCTCATTTGCACAGGTGCCGTATGGACCGACCCTAATCATTCTTTGTCAGAGTCAGCAGCAAAATCAAGACCTGCTGTTCATCCAAAGTCACTACAGGAGGGGAGGGGCATTGATTCCCAAATCCAGAAGCATACAGAAGAATAAAGCCAAATTATATGGCTGTTGGGAAACTTCACAAAGTAACCCCTTTCCCCTCTTTACACAGATGCTGTTCTGTGTGGAAAAGAGAAAACAATGGTCTTGACAACCATTCTACTTTGAACCAGATGTAGGCAATGGAATATTACTTTAAACAGGACCCAGGTGCCGCTTCCAAAGACCATTGGTTGATGTGTTGGTTGTTTGCAAGGAATGGGGTGTGTGTTGAGGGGATGGGAGTGATGAAAAAACTTAGCAGTGTAATAGCTAGTGCTTTCTCAAGTTATTGAATCCTGATAATCAGTTATGTCAATAAATACATTCCCTTGAATAAGTTACAGGGAAAAGAGGCACATATATCTGCTCTCCTTATCTGCAGTGGCAGGTAAAAGATGAAAGCTTCCGTGTGTCATCAAGCTAGGCCTTCACTTTCAGTCCATCCCTATGAAACAAGGCTCCTCTTCTAGCTGATTCCCCAGCGTACCTCATTCTATGTCAAGGGACTTGGTAGTTTTCAACATTTATTCATAAGTCAGACATAGCTTGCTGTCTACAGGAAAACAAAATTATGACTTGGAAGTCACCGGGAATGATACAGGATAGTCACTCGTAGATGCTACACTCAGGGTGGCATCAAGCAGCTGCCATTAACTGTGTGAAAAATTAGATTTCCCATAGCTGCTAAATGGGATAAGATGGTTACAGAATAGAACAAGAAACTCTGTGGAGGATGAATGACATGGTCTTGCTGATGAACAGCTACGGTTTGGAATGACGTCTTTTAACGTGGTGCCTTCCCATCATGATGATGACAGCCCTGTGTGCTTTGCTGCAGGGAATGGAATCTGTAGCTGTGGAAACTGTGAATGCTGGGACGGATGGAACGGGAACGCCTGTGAAATCTGGCTCGGCACGGAATACCCTTAACGATCATGTGGCAGGGAACCGGGTTCTTCTTTTTTCTCGGCCCTCAGAACGTATAAATGCAGAGGAAACCATGTATAATCACCACTACGACAGGTCAAACAGACTATTGTATGTTTTTTTCTTTCTGAATGCCTGAATGAAATCTGGGTACCCATTAAAAATGAGCTAAGCAAGTTCTGATGTAAATAGCATCAGAAAAAACTTTTCCTACCTTCATTTACATCAGTGGTTCTCAACAAGGGCAAACTTTACCACCCAGAAAACGCTTGACAATAATGTTTACAGGTAATTTTGATGGTCACCCTGGGTGGCGTGGAGGGCATGTTGGGGGTGGACATCCAATGGGTGGGCGCCAGGGATGCTGTGAACGTCCTCTGGGGCACAGGACAGCCCCCCACAACAAAGAATGACCTGACTTCACGTGTCAAGGGTGCCTGAGCTGAGAAACATTGAATTAGATGGTTGTTAGAAATGCATAACCCTGTACAAGAAAGACCGTATTCGTGTCTAAGGAAAAAATACAGTCTTACATAAATCCATTGATCATATTTTGCCAGGATTCCATATCACTTATCATTTCCGTGGAGACATAAGGTATCCAGACACACATAGGATATGGGGCAGAAACTACATCATCAGTGCTTTTGGGAAAAAAAAAAAACCTGGTCATTTTAGCCATTAAGTCGTTTGTCTTATCCCCCTTTAGACTCACACAAAAAAACTCTCTTAAGATGAAGGAAGATATTATGAAAAATGTACAATTCAACATTTTAAATAAATAGTGACATAACTTGCTTATATTCTGTGTCAGTATATATTTACCTACTGAGGATTAACACCCCCCCCAATGAATTTTTATTCAGGGGTCTCTATCTTCTATTGCTAGAACATTTTTAAATATTGAGCAGGGGTTACATGTATAAGAATTCTGATTTTTTACTGTTTACTCCATGGTAACTTGCCTTTTAAAAAGACAGCATATAGTTAGATGTATGATGGGCCTGAAATATACATTCACCTCCCTTAAAAACTCTTATTTGTAAGGATACATTACTTATTGGAAAAGTAGGCTCATGCAAAGAAATCAAGAAATTATATTAAGATAAAAAGTCTCAAAAGCTCAGAGGGTTTAAAAAAAATCCAGAAATGCCTGAAATAGAAATTACAAGTATTCAGTCAATAATAAGAACAAAATGTTTATTTTCTTAATGGTGAAATTCTGCTCTGTATGAAATTCACATTGAATTATGAAAATGTACAATAATTCAGACTTCCCTTACATATTTACAGTTAAATCTACTTATACACATTAGTTAGGCAACCTTTAATTATTTAGAGCTAATAAAAACCCCACTTTTTTTTTTTCTAAAGGCGATTTCTATCTTGTAAAATCCTAGAATAATGTAACAAAATCATTTCCATATTAAGATGAAAAGTTTTCCTTGGAAATTTTACTTGATGATGTAAATATTCTAGAATTGTGGCTTGGACTTTTCTAAGTCACATCACCAAAATAAGGAAAATATGCATCTGCTGAGTTACTGAAAAATTTAATATTGAAAATTATTTAAGAGAAAATTTAACTGATGCTGATTTTGATAGTACTAATATTGTCCTCGTACTTTAGGAGATTTATAAAATTGTCACTTCTATCCTGAGATTAAGGAGTGCAACCATGGGATTGTATCTTTAGTCTCATGTATATCAATCAATAGATCAGATTTTGTAAATGAGGGAAATATAAGCTGTGAAACAACACAGATTATACTCTTTCCTCTGTCTAAACACGTCAACCCTCAAACAAAGCTGTTATTGTTCAGTTGCAATTCTGATGCCTTATGTGATGCTGCACAGACACTAAACTTCGTTACCTTATCCAGCCATCATAATTTGTACAGAAGACCTTCAGGTTCCTTTCTTGCAGAACTTTGGTTTCTATAAAGGACCAGATGGTAAACAGTTTAGACTTTGTGGGTCACATCCATCTCTGTTACAAATTCTTGTGTGTTTTCATTTAATATTTTAAAGCTGAGAGAACAAAACGAATTCATTCTGAGCTCCTGGACTGTAAGAAGCATTGGGAGATGAATTTGGCAGGAGTTTGCCAGCCTCTGCTCTACTGAAACTGCTCTTAGCTTCCTCTCTTATCACATAACCCTCTGTGTGTCTTCTTTTTCTTATCATTCTCTACATCTGTTAACCCTCTTCATTACAGAATCTACAACAAAGGTGCTGTTCTTTTTCTATTTTCATTGAACAAAAATGTCCTTGGCATTCATGTTTTTTTAAGAAAAAAAAATATGGAGAAATTAGTGTATTATAAAGTTCAAAATGTGATTGGTCCAAATTTTTTGACAAAGTTGAAAATATATTTCAGCTCTATTCTGGGGTTCATTTAGCTCGCAATTATTGAACCAAAAGGAAACTACAGCATTAAGTCACATGGTACCTACACACTAATATTTTTCTTCTAAAACAAAAATATTTTCATTTTACCACTTTCTGTCTGCTGCAACAGTTCTTGTGTGTGTGTATATATGATTTTGGGTCTCTAGCAATGCAGACATCAATATAGATCTATGAAGAAGTGATTTAACTTACATGTTTAAGTTGGAGAAAAATAGACATAGTTATGTACAAAGACATAAATTTCTACCCTTCTTAGATGTGATTTTGTACTTTGACTTTTGATTCCATTGCTTAGATAGAAACTCCCTCTTCAAAAAAAAAAAAAAAAAGTCAGGACAAGAATAAACTTATAATAGTTGGAGGGAAATTTCATTGGCTTATTCAAGTTGGTCGGTAGTTATGGTGGAAATACGTCTATTGGGAACGATAGATGTTTGCCAATGGTGTTAGCACCAACCCAGTTTGCTTGGCAAACCATCACTGAGTAATTCTTTCATAAAGGACTTTTGAATAAGAGTCTACAAACATCCTGAGACCTAAGAGAATCACCCTGGACTCTGAGCTAATCTGGATTCTCACCATGCATTGGAAGGAATTGCCTCCACCACTTCAAATGCAAACACAACATGGGGATTAGACCAAATGACAGAAAAAGCCAAGAGAAAACAAAAACAAGACATAATTCAACATTTGTTTGCAGACTCACAATCAAAGCTTTTGACACCCCACTCAGTATTGAGTCAACAGGTCACTTTGTAAGCTAACAAAGCTACTCTAAAAAGTGTATTTTACTCCAGAGTAACACAGTTCACATCTGGAGTCTGAGATGCCTGGGTTTAGCTCAACAGCTGTCCCTGGATATAGTCTCCTTCTAAAATGTTCATACTCCCTCTAATATTAGGGAGAGAACTTTAAATGAAGTGGTACATGTTTAACTTTTAAGTCGAGAAGTATTTTTTTCTTGTTTTTTAAAAAAGAGCCAAATCCGATATTGGTCATCCTGAAAATAGCTGACTGTTTTAATGCTTTAAGCATTCATTAAGCAACTGGCCAGGTGTGATAAACTCCTCTTGCACTCCAAGAGGCAAATAATTAGATGGACCATGGCAGGAGTCTTGTGGGTTCATCATGGCACTTTTGAAGCCAGTCCTGAACCCAAAACACTCAGGGCAAAGGAACGTTTGGAGCAAGAACCTCTGAATTCTCCAAGATTTGTAATGGAATGATGCTCAGTTCCATTGTACTCTTTATATAGGTTGGACCATTTGCCTCTCTTCTATAATTTTTTCAGGTTAAGTTGTAGCAAAATATTTTAGCAAACATAAGAAAATAAAATGGTATCGCTTGAAATATTAAAACAATGAAGATTCCAGAGCATTGTTGAGGAATGAGTGAAGCAACAGCTACCATAACAGATTAGCAGACACAACCCTCCCACACCAGATATGGATGCAAAAGGCATGTGATACTGGAAAGACTCGATAAAATCAACATACGTACATGTAGGTACAGATCACATGGTGGTCTCCAAATACAAATGAATTCCATCAGATTTACTGTACAGAACATCAATGGCGACAGATTGCACTTAAAACAGCAAACTTAGTTTTTGAGGGGGGGGAAATGGTGGAGTCTTATCCTGGAAAAATAGCAAAAGAGGTATCATCAAAGAGCTAAAATCTTCTTTGGCATGGTAAAGGGGGAGACTGAGTTTACCAAACTTATTTACATGACATTTCTCTATATCTGTAGATGATGCAATGCCATTTTGTTACATAAAGTTGTTGGATGTTGTTGAATATGCCTTCATATAAATATTTTATTCAATATGTTGTATTTATGAATACAACAAATGATATTAAACACAGAAACTGTACAATGCAGACAAACTCTTTGTATGTAGATTGAATAATACACACCAATGGCTCTTGAAACAGAGGTCCTACGACATGCAGTTCATCAGTGCTGTCCTCGTTCCATGCAACAGGTCAGACCAGACACAGAGGAAATGATCTAACTAAATCACAAATAACAAGGACCCCTCTGCAGTACGTCTAAACATATATTAGAAGAAAGTATTCTGACATCCATTCATAGGGATAAATGCCCTTATAGATAACTCATGTAAAAAATAAAACAGAGGTACACATTTACTGAAATCTCATTCATTTACAAAAATAAATCTTGTCATAATTTTAACCAATAAACAAACTTGCAGGAGAGAAAAAGAAACCAGCAAGTAGGGCCGATTACCAAAAACATATAGGTGGGGCTTTTTGATGTGTGTGTGTGTGTGTGTGTCTGTGTGTGTGTGTGTACCTGCACACACATGCGCATGGTAGGGTAAGTCTATCTAATTGGAATTTCAAGTTGTTATTCACAGTTTGTCACATATTATGGAGTATATGTCTTCCCTAAAAATTGATTAATGTAATTCATCTAATGTATTTTAACTTAGCCTGTTAAAAATAATAGGCTTTGGAACAGTGTAATAAGAAATCAAGAGAGGTCAAAAGAATCATTTTGTTGTATTTGTACTTTAGCATTATTGACAATAAATCTACTCAGATGTTATGCTAACTTTTTATTTA